ACACACACACACACGTCCTCACCTACCACCCTCCAGTTCTGCTCATTGCCCCCCCTCCCTGTTTCTCCGCTTCAGTCCACGGTGTCAGGTGGTCCTGCAGTAACAGAGGTAGGCAGAACGAGGTCTCCGTCGAGCGGCTGGCACAGAGCATCCTGGACAGTCAGCAGACCAAACCCAAACCCCGCACTCATGCCTGCCTCTGCAGCCCCGCGACGGGTGAGGGGTCCTGGGGTCCCGGGGTCCTGGGGTCCGGGGTCCCGGGGTGGCGCCAACGCGCAGGGTGCACAGTGGGGAGGGAGGAAGAGAAGCCAAAAACCTTTGCCCCACCATGTAATAGTCATACACCCGCTGTGAGACGCACAGTGTCATGTGATCTAGGGGGTTCAAAGGGAATCAAAACCATACAAATGTAACAGAAATATTAAAGGACCCATCTTGGTGGGCGGAAAAAACTGGCGTCAGCAGTGAAATGAGACACATCTGCGAGCTCTTGGGTCTGGCATGTAGATTCAGGGTGGAAACAAACCGATCGCAGCAGCTGTAATTCACGCCTGTTGCAGTCATTCTCCTCCTCTCTCCCTCTCTTTTCCCCACAGCGGGGGCCAACATTCCTCACTGCTGCAACGGCACCAAGCACCGCATCATCTCCCCAAAGCTTCCGGCCCGACCCGCCACCCACCCGGGCCCGACGGGCATCCGAAACCTGGCGTCGGCCGCAGGGGGCGGCCCAGGGAGCAGGGGCAAGGCGGGGGCAAGTGGTGGCATAGAGGGAGGTATAAAGCGCTCAACGCCTGCTGCCCAGGTGGGGGGTGCCCGGAATCTGCCAGCGAAGGTGGGGCTCAGCGCCAACCCCCCCCTGCGCCGGACTGACGCCTCCATAAACATCAGGGGGAGTCACAGCCGCGGTGTTCCTAGCGACCATCGCGATTTAGCCACCGTGGGCGTGCCTCAGAGTGCGGTGATCGTCATGACAACTATCAGCAGCGGGGACGAGCCCAAGGGCGAGCCCACCTTCAGTGGTCCCGGCGGTGTCCCCTCCCACCTGTCACTCACCTCCTCTGCTCACCTGCTGCTCCCCCCTAACTCCCCTCCCCGGGAAGTTGCCTCCCCATCTCTCACCTCCTCCAAATCCTCTGCAGCTTCCTCTGTAAACCTCATCCCCCTGCCAGTGGGAGGCGCTGGTGCACCTGGATGGCCCCCTCCCTCAGAGGCCATTTCCCCCACGCTCCGCCTGACGCTGCTCCCCAGCCCTGTAATCAGGGGCCTCATCTTGACTAACAGGCTGATATCAGGGTCTGACTCCCCTGGCTCCGCCCTGCCTCCTCCAACCTCCTCACCATCCCACTCATGTCCTCCCCAGAAGTCCCCTCCTCCCCCTGCAGCTCCTCTTCCTCCTCTTCCACCTCCCACAGCTCTCCTTTTTGATCCCGACTCCTTTCTCAACAGCCCCCGGCGAGGGCAGACATACGGGGGCCCCTCCCAGGCTACCTCCTGCTCCTCCGACTCCTTCTCCCCCTCCTCCTCTGTGTCCTCCCTGTCCCCCTCTTCTGCCCTGTCCTCCCTCTCATCGGAAACGGAAAGCAGGAGAAACTCGCTGCCTGAGCCTTGTCCCCGGGCCACCCCCTCCGGTTCCTCTCCTCTCTCTCCTTCCCTGTCTCTCCCTCTGTCTCCTTCCACACCCTCTCTCCTGCCACTGTGCCTGGACTCTGCCCTGGGACTGGATACCTTGGATGTGCTGGCATCCAGTGATGTAGAGAGAGATGACCACCAGCAGGGGGCCCTGCCGGCCGCACCGCCCCCTCCCAGCTCGAAGGGCATGTGTCCCCCATGCCTCCGGCCTCCTTCTGGACTCATCCCAAGCCCTGTGATTGGCCAGCTGCCCCCACCTGATCCGGACTCCGCGGTTCCGCGGCCAGCACTGACCTGGCATGCAGAGGGAACCTCGCAGCATCTCTGGCTGCGGTGCATCTTGCCTGGAAACTCGGTACAAGACGGTCAACACTCACCATGGCAACCGCAGCTGAGTTCTGCCCCGGAGCTGAGCCTCGCGCACTCGTCCCCGTCACCAGGATCACTCCAGTCGGAGTGCCACATGCTAGAGAACAGCCGCAAGGGTAGGCCTTCCCCAAACCCTTGTGCCCCAGTGAAAGGGGAGCACTCCCGCTGTTCCTCCTCTTCCTCCTCTTCCTCCCCCAGCCTTGATCGCCACAAGGCAGAGGAGACCCCGATGGATACCAACAGCTGTGGGGAGAGTAGCCACACCCATGCATTAGAGGGCCAGGACGTTTTGGCCGCACTCACCGTTCTGGAAGGTTCCAACACTGAGCTTCCCTTCGACAGCCACTTCCCAGACCTGATTTCTCCACTGGTGGGTGAAGACAGATTGCATGACGGGGAGCCAGACAGGGCGGGCCCCATGAACTCGTGCCCTCCACCTCCCTGTCCGACTGGGCTGCACTCTGCGGCGCCCCCGCTGGCTGTCTCCCTTTCGCCCTTGCATTCCCGGGTGTCCCTGGGGGCAGAAGCGGGACGCCTCAGCACCATTACAGACTTCTCCCCTGAGTGGTCCTACCCGGAGGTGAGCACGGCCGCCCCAGGGCGGTTTGCATGGTGTGTCGCTCATCTTCACCACCTTGTCTTTTTCAAGCCTTGCTGGTTTTCCCTCCTTTGTAACACGGCGATTTTATCCCCTCCGTTCAAGCAACCCCAGTAACCGAAGAGTGATTTTCCAAAACTCACCCAGTCCGCAGGACACGTTTTCGAGAAAATTTCTGTGGACTTTTAACGAAATTTAACAGAAGTTCTTCATTGGATTACATGAGGACTGAACAAGGGTTGGGTTCCGATACTATAACCTACTGCAAGCCTGATTTTAGGTCAGAAATGGACTGAGTGAGTTTTGAATATTAAAGACCGATTTCTGATCTTCGCTTGTTCTGCGTTAGGTTTCCTACGCATGGTGTTTTATTCCAGACCCTGGACTCTCTGGGTGGAAAAGAAACTCTTCAGTCTGAATTTTGTATGTGCCATAGTATAAAGAAAACACATAGAATTCTTCAGCGGTCGAAGTCCCACGTTATAGACAAAGTCAACATCAGCATGAACTTCTTTATAATCATACTTCCCATTGACTAGGTCATCCATTTGGTCATGGAATATTTAATGCAAACCATTACAGTACCTCTCAAACAAATTTAAAACGGCACAGTTTTTATTAGTTTAATTCAATTAAAATTTTATTCGTAAAGCCACCATAGGGAAAATAATCACTCCTGCCTTAAAAAAAGTGTTTTGTTGTAGTAATTTTTAGTTATATTTTTAGCATGTTGAAAATGTTGATGTAATTTTATAATTAATGTAATATTTCTGTTGCACAGTTTGCACACTTTTTATACACTTTTTATACACTTTTATACATTTTATAATTGATTTTTATACTGCTGCTTCTGAATACTAATCTGCTTTTGTCCCCTGCTGGGATCTGCTTGATAGACTGTTATCCATACCTCTCACAGCTCTAAGTAAAACATTTCCTCCTTATAACATTAGTAAAATTGCCTGCAGGTGATTTACCTTTAAATTTAATGTACCTGTGGAGTTTCTGGTCTCAGAAGTAGATTCTATAACACTGTAAGTTATACTGTATATGCTCATGTCTGTTTTAGTTGTAGTAACTGGAGAATATGAAATGCATTCATGCATGAAAAGTCGCCTATTACCCTCCCAAAACTTGTATTAGATACGTATGTAAGTGCATGTAAATAATATCACTAGATCACAGTCCTTTGATCGGTGTTCATTTCATTTTCATATTTCCCTGTGTACATGTGTACACTAAATTTATTATTTATTTAAAAGTCACTGAATGCAAATAAATATGTAATGTCAAGATTTAATTGCACCGTATTGTTTGTAAAAGTGTATGTATGTTTTTGTGATGTCATAAACATGGGCCTTTAATGTATGCAGCCGTCTCTGTGTGATGTCATTAACAATTGTTTGTGTGCGGCTATGTGTGATGTCATAAAGGCTTGAGTGGAGTATAATCCATGCAGCAGTGATGTCATCCAGGTTTGGCTAAGTATGTCTGACCACATGTTTTTCAGGGTGGAGTTAAGGTGTTGATAACGGGGCCGTGGACGGAAATGACAGGACGGTATTCCTGCGTGTTTGACCAGAGTGCTGTCTCTGCATCTCTCATCCAGCCAGGAGTGCTGCGCTGCTACTGTCCAAGTGCGAGCATGTATACACGAGTGTGCACACATGCAGCACACGAGCAAACAGAGAGTTGATTTCTTCACAATCTGCTAAGGATGAACACAGCAAGTCTATATATTTGATAATAGCTTGAATTGTAATTTTTTATATATATATACATTTGCAGACGATATCATGTGCAACCCAGGAAAATTGCACACAAATTTTTCACCTTTCCGTGTCTTGAAGAGAAATTTGTGTGCTCGTTATTGTTGAAAATGTCGCAGAGGGTTAGGGTTAGGGTTAGGGTTATGTTTCTAAGCTTAAAATCGATCCTGAGTAAATCACTGTTTCCCAACCCGGTCCTCCGGGCCCCCCAGGCAGATCCTGCTTTTGTTCCCTCCCAGCTCCCAGGGGGGGCAAAAATGTGGACTGTCTGGCAGAAAGCTGGGTGGGAGCAAAATCGTGAATCATCTGGGGGTCCCCAAAGACTGGGATGGGAAACACTGATGTAAATGACAGTGAAACTCTCACTTGGAATTGTATGAAAATGCCAGACAGCTAGAAAAGAAACATGAAAACACTCATTCTGTCACATATAGAAGTGCTGTTTGGTGTGTTACTGCTACATCAAGCATGAGGTCTCAATACACTTTTTTTTGGGAAATCAGCAGCTTAGATGATTCAATATTTAAAGTATTACATTTTAATATCTCGCACATGGTTGCAATTATTGGAAAATATAACCCAGAATCTATTCAGAGAGCCGTAAAACCAGCAGCAAAAATTATGAGTTCTGCTTTTAAAGAAAAACAGCAGTAGGGTATTTTGCATTTTGTCCACAAGGGGTGCTGTTGCATAGTTTTGAAATACATCCCTACAGAGATAAGCTATTACAAAAAAAGAAAACATGAGGCATCATGATCTAATGGATTTCATGGTTAATGATATCACGGTGTGAATGCTAACACTCATAGCCAGCGATGGGGAACTGAATCCATCTCTATCCTCCAATCCCAGCTCACGAGGCCGGGCTGGTCACGCTGCACGTCCTGCAGGACACGGATGTGCTCTCATCCTCTGTGCTGTTTGAGTATCGCGCCCGCAGCACCTCCTCTCAGCCCAGCTCGCAGCCGGACTGGCTTTCCCTGGATGGTGAGTGACCACACCCACTTACCAAGGTCACACAAGTCCTCACCCCCTCAGTGGCAAGTAATCAAGCAGAGAAAATACTTTTTTGTTTTTCATTTTTGTTTTCATGCTGAGGACAGAAAACATTTGACTTGTGGGGTAGAACAGAGTTATTCAGAAATTTATCATGACATAATATGACCTTGCAATGGTTTTTTGGTGCTTTGAAGTGATACTTTTATACTTTTATGAACAGAATTATTCCTTTTTATACAAAAATGTCATGATGTGGTTAGTTATTAGAGCAGTCAGACTGTGCGTTTGGACCACAATGAGCAGAGAGCTTTTACCTCTCATAACAGACCTCAGATCAGTTTTGGGATGTTCCAGTCCTGTTTCCTGTAACCTACAGCATCAGTTACTGTGTCTAGCAAACAGGTATTCCAGACTGTTCTGCAGTGGAACAGTAGGTGTATTCAGTGCCTTTCTTTGTTTTACTTTTAATTATATGATAAATAATTATCTATTTTCCGTTGCTCATGGGATTTTTACTTACACAAAAGTGTTTTGAGGGCAGAATGAAAAATGATTGGTTCAGAGAGATAACCAATCAGACTATAGAGGAGGCGGGCTCAATCAGATGTTGGTCCCACCCCCTCTAGTTGCAGAACATTTTCTTGCTTTCTGAACCGGCTCACCATAACTACCATACCTATTACACATTTCCATAGAATCTAGACTTTCCAAGTAATACAAATGGTTCGCTTTTCATTTTGAAAATTCTATATTGACCCAGTATTCATGTCATCTGTATTGAAGACAGTAGAGTTATTGCTAAAGAATCCCGTTAGCTTCAGTGCCTGCTTGAATAATATGAAGATCTGTTTCTCCAATGGAGATTGTGTATTTGCAATGACTGAATGCAGAGTGCTGATTGGTCTGTGGGGTCAGGGGGGCGGGCTGTGGGCTGATGGGAAGGCCGGGGAGGTATGAACCTGTCTGCGTCAAATTCTTCAGCCCTGCAGGTGCAGTTTGGAGATTCTTTGGTCCAGGGAGGGCAGTAGAGATAGTGTTGGTATGTGTGTGTATCTGCTTCAGTTTAATAAAGTTTACTTTGCTTATGAAGTGTAGTGTGTGAATGCTAGGTGGTCTGACTATGCCAGTGCCCACATTAACAGTATTATGTTCACTCCTTGCCCTCCTTGCCCTTATTAACGAGGCAGAATCAGTGCACATTATCGCACAGCTGCAGTTTATCTGACTCCTGTGGCCTGCTAAGGAAGGATTATATACTCACACGGGGGGGGGTTGGAACGTGGTGAAAGTGGATAAAAGGAATTCCCAAGGGCAACTAAGGTCAGGGTGTCTTCCTGCACTGCGACTCCCAGCTTTATAAAACAGTATGTGTTAGTGGTGAGACTCATGCCCTCTAATGGAAAAGATGCACATTAGCGGTGTGACTTCTGTATGCTAATAGAAACTATGCACATTGACAGTGAAACTCATGGCTGCCTATGGAAATGACTTGTATGACCATTGAGACTCATGGCCGCTAACTGAAACGATGCATGTTATCATTGACATTCATGACTGCTAATTGAAATTATGCACATTAGCATTGAGACTGATGGCCACTAACTGAAAAGATGGGCATTAGCATTTAGATTCATGGCCACTTATTGAAACGATGCACGTTACAATTGAGACTCATGGCCGCTTATTGAAACGATGCACGTTAGCATTGAGACTCATGGCCGCTTATTGAAACGATGCACGTTAGCATTGAGACTCATGGCCGCTTATTGAAACGATGCGTGTTAACATTGAGACACATATGCTAAGGTAAACGACGCATGTCAGCTGTGTGATTTATGGGTGCTAACGGAAATGACACGTATTAGTGGTGTGACTTGTGTCTGCTAATTTAAATTATGCAATTATGCGGCTAACAGTGAGACTCATGGCCGCCTATCGAAATGATTCATATCAGCAATGAGACTCATGGCCAGTAAGGGCCGTGGTACGTGTTAGCAGTGAGCCTTGCGGCTGCACATGGTTGTTTTGGTCCTTTAGAAAGTAAAACAAACATAAACAAAGTGGTTTTCCTCATTATTATTCATGCTTTAGAAGACTTTAATTAGGAATTAGCTCTGTGTGAGAGAGATACAAGTTCTAATGTTGCAAAGAGAATATTTAACAGCAGATACATACTTGAACTCTGAACACAAGGTGGCAGTAGCAGGTGCTTATGCCAGAGACACCCAGATGGACGGGCCTGACCATGCTGGTAGGTGGCTGACCCCCAGGACGCTGGTTTGATTAAGCCGCCCTGGCCCCCGTCCTCACGGCCGCCCTGGCCCCCGTCCTCACGGCCGCCCTGGCCCCCGTCCTATCCAGCATTTGGCAGCCGTGGTGACACGGCCATGATGCACTGGGCCACCTTTGAGCGAGTGCCTCCGTTCAGGTGCCCCAAGCCCCCCTTGCCAAATAAAGGCTCCGACTCAGTCCACAACCGGAGATGGAGGGAGCAGATTCACAGGCCCTGGGAATGTCGATGAGGTAGGGGGGGATTATATTTTCCGAAGGGTGGGACTCTCCTGCTGCTGCTTAGTGATTGATGGGATGGAGATGTTTTCCGCTGTCAACACTTACCTCCCCCCCCTCCCCCCCAGCCCGAACATACGCAAACACAGACTAGCCACCCCATACACTTTCTGCTCACGTTGTGATAGCTGAATCACACACACGCATATCAGACCAACCCTCCGTAGCTTTGCTGAAATTTTACCATTACAGAACATTTAAGGTGTCTGAAACGTCTTCTTTCATTTAGACTTAGCTTCCATTTCATCATATTTAAATAGATGGATGTTATGAGTGCATTTTAATGTGTTAATTATCACCATGAGGAACTGTTTACTGACTGAGCCCTGTTTGATACTATGTTTATGTGTGTCTGTGTGTATGTGTGTGTCTTTGTGTGTGTGTCTGTGTGTCTGTGTCTGTGTGTATGTGAGTGTGTCTTTGTGTGTGTGTCTGTGTGTGTGTCTGTGTCTGTGTCTGTGTGAGTATGTGAGTGATGTTGAAGTGTACAGCTCAGCCTGTTGCTATTTCTGACCCCCCAGCTAGACCTATTTAAACCCCTGAATGGGGGGGCTGTGTGTGCCCGTGTGTGCGTGTGTGTGTGTGTGTGTGTGTGTGGGAGGGGGGGGGGGGGATCAGTACCGCTCCCTTTGAACCCCCCCCAGGCCCCGCTCCTCTGGCTTGGACACCTGTCTCTCCTCCACTCCTCCATCTTTATCATTGTCAGCCCCCGCAGCCACGCCCGTGTACGGCACTCACCCTCCATGACCCCCTGCCCCTTTCTCCACTTACCCCCCCCACCCGACCCCGTCTGTCATCCCATTCTGCCTGTTACCCATGCCGTTCCTTGGCTGCGGGGGGGTGGGGCCAGCGCGTGCCAGGAGGCAGTAATGTGAGTTACACTCAAACGGCCGCCTCAGTCCCGCTCTGGGACTTTCCCCCTGGGGTCTTGGCAACTCTCTCCCCGAATGTCGCCGGTCTTCTCCGCTCCTGCAGACAGCCTGTCGTCTCGCCCTGGACTCCTTTTGTGTTTTTTTTTTCCCTTCTTTCTGAGCCACTCCCCCTCCCTGTCTGCCGTCCCGACCTCCTCCCTCCTCTCCTGTCCCGCTCGTTGGCTTTCTTTCCGGAACTTTCTCCGCATCGCTGCAATGGTTCCTGTCAGCCCTCCTGCGTTCAGTTAAGCTGTGTGCTGCATGCTGTGAGTTTGTGCGTGTGCGTGTGGGTCTGCACGTGTGTGCTAGGGGTCCTGCTCCGGGTCGCTCCCCCGTGCTCATGCATTGGCACTGTGCTTCCCTTCCCACTCCTCCGGTTGTTCGTTAACACTCATGCCTGCACGCTCTGGGACCCTGAGCTCATAAAGCTGCTTTTTTTTCCCTCCTCCTCACCCCTAGGCCTTTACATCTTCTCATACGTGTTTCTTTTATTGCACTTTCTGCTTCCATCCTTTCCTCCTGCCGCCTCGCCACCCTCTCCTCTTTCATTCACTTAATCCTTATTTCATCCCCCGTCCGTGCCATCCTCCCCCGATCCCTCCATCTTCAGTCCCACTAACCTCCACTTGTGTGGACATCGTCCCACCACGGCCTCTGACCGATGAAGGACCTTCATCCTTCTGGCTCAGTCAGCCGTCAGACTGTCCCTCCGCTGTAACGCGGCTCCCTTCTGAAGGAGTGCTCCATTTCGAGTAGCCCGCGGACCCCTCACATGTTGCGGCGCTGTAAAGTCAAACGCGCCGGCCGTAAGGGGAGGGTTAGAGAAGAATCGCGATAGGAGGAAAGAGACATGAAGGGGTAAAGCACTTTTTTTGGGATTGTCTCGGGCCCCACCGAAGCCTCACTGGCCCCTGGTGGTCCCGCCCTTGTGCCCCCCTGACACCCTCCCCACCCCGAGGCGGCTGAGCACGCGGCCCAGAGCAGCGGTGAGCTGACAGACAGATTGTCTTTCAGCGGAGATGGAGAAGGACAAAGATGACATAGGTAGGACCTGGAGGGCGTTAGTATGGAGTTGGAACACAGGTGTGTGCATGCGTGTGTGTGTGTGTGTGTGTGTGTGTGCGTGTGCGTGTGTGTGTGTGTGTGTATTCGCATGTTCCTGGGGCCATGTAGAACTGCACAAAGTTCAGCATGTTGGAAGCAGACTGACCTCATAGATGAGAGTGTGTGCGTGTATGTGTGTATGCATGCGTGTGTGTGTGTGTGTGTATGCGTGTGTGTGCGGTTGTGCTGATGGGGTCAAAGGGGCACCTCCTGGCATGGTCTGCGCTCTATATCACACAAGCCTTACGCGTTATTGCCTGTCTAATGTACAAACTGTTATATCCTGGGTTTACATCGGAGAGGGACGCCACATGTCTGCGTATTTATGGGAGGAAAAAGTGTTAATTTATATTAGAAATGAACAAGAAACTATTTCACTCAGTTTTATATCTGACCAACCACAGTTTTAGTTTATATCTGAGAGACAAATCACTGTGTAAATTTATAACAGAAAGAAACTGGTTTATATACAACTTTTATATCTGAGAGACAAATCACTGCTTAAATTTATATTAGAGAGAAACTGGTTTATATACAAGTTTATACCAGCGGGACAAATCACTGTTTAAAATTATAACAGAGAGAACCTGGTATATATATATAAAAGTTTATGTCTTAGAGACAAATTACTGTTTAAATTTATAACAGAGAAACTGGTGTACATGCAAGTTTATTTCTGAGAGAGAAAGTGCTCTGCTTAAGTTCATGTCTGTGCTCACTGTAAACACAGATTGGGCATATTAACACCCCGCATGGGCACTGGGGGGGTTCACACACACACACACACACACACACACACACACACACACATACAGAGGTTTGTTATTATGTCTTTGTGGGGACTCTCCATTCACATCAATGGGGATAACTCTAATCCCAACAGCCCTAACCTTAACCATAAGTAACCAAACGAAATATGAGACTTTTGGCATTTTTACTTTTTTGATTGCATTCACAACTCTTTGTGGGGACCCGAAAAATGGTCCCCACGACATCAGAATAACAAGTTTTTATTACCTTGTGGGGAACATTTGGACCCTGATAAATGTGATAATTAAAGCCTCGATGGAGAGTTTGGCCCTAAATAAGTGGGAAGAAGAAGAGGAGTGAAAAACCAAGTGAAAAGTTATGGTTGTCCAGTTAAGTGTATGTTATTCAATGCCATTCAGTTTGTAATATATGTAGTGCTTCTAACAAGAAGCATTGTCACCGAGCACCGGACCCAGGGTCCCCAGAGAGCCACCCTAGGAGGCTGTAGCTGGGAAAACCTCCCAGGAGACCCTAGACTTATCTAGACTTATCTTCCTCCTGCTATGTTTCATGGCTTTTAAGGCAGGGCAGTGTGTGGTTCAGTGGATTAGGATGCTATGGTTGTGATTGGAAGGTCACCGGTTCAAATCTTGATTTTGCTATTGAGTTCTTAAGTAAGAGCTGTCGCACCAGGGACTGTTTGATCATGCTTTTTCAAGTTTATCAGTTCAAACTAAATTTCCTTTGGGATGAATAAAGTATCTATCTAACCCTGAGTTTAATTTCCAAATAAGGTGATCTGATGGGTTTTAGAGCTTGTCGTGGTCTCAGAGGTCGTTATTTTGTTACAGATCCTCCCTGTATCGCGGGTTCTGTACTCGCATTTCCCGTCCCATCGCTCTTCGCCCTGCTAGGCCGGTGGCATGGTGGGCATGGAGCGCGTGGCGGGGGAGGGGGAAGGTGAGGGCACACATGCTCCGTGCTTCCAGGCTGACGCCGGTCTCACCGGTCTCCGCTCCGCCCGTCCGCAGATAACCAGTTCCGCATGTCCATCCTGGAGCGCCTGGAGCAGATGGAGAAGAGGATGGCCGAGATGACGACCGCTGGCTGCCGGCAACAGACCCCAGGGGGCCCTCAGGGGGGCTCACGACGGATCCCAATGCCGCCAGACCCCGGGGAAAGGACTGGGGTGGCCACTGGGGTAGGGGAGCAGACCCGGTCACAGGTAGGCACATGTGGGAATGTGTGTCTCTACACTGAGATGCACGCACACACACACACACACACACTGTGGCCTCCTTTTCTTCCCCCAGATCTGTGTGTGGGGTAAGCAGCTGGGAGAGTGCATGGGGGAGGGGCTGAGGGGCATGCTTTAACCTGTATCCCAGCATCATACTGTCAGTGCACAGCTAATTTAAACTCCCAAATCCCTTATAACCCTGTAAGCCCCCCCCGCCGGCCCCCGCCCTCCCCATCCCCGTTAATGTTCCGTTCCTTCCATCGCCGGCACTTGCCCCCCCACCCCCCTCAGCTGTTCCTTCACCCTCTTTCTCAGTAATACCGCCTTGCTCCCTGTCACACATTCTTAGTGGCCCCCGTCTTGCGTCAAGGATAAGGTGGGC